AGCACAGGGCCAGCAGGGGGGCTGCTTATGTCCTCCATTGGCCCTGTGCTCCCACAGCACTTTTGCCTTTGAAGTGTAACAGCCCTGGGGCTGTTGCTACGCTTCAAAGGTGAAGGCACCTTTCTCAACTAATCAAATAGTTGATGGAAATTGTGTGGACTATTTGATTAGCCCATTAATCTAAATTTAACATCCCTAATTGAGATCCAGGAACCAAAGAGTCTATATGGAAAGATATTCCTAACTGCGTTTTTCACCTGTTTGAACTTCCTTTGTCTCCTCTTCATTCTTGATGACTTTGCTAACTGCTTAAGTGCAAATTAAGGCTAGCCCTTTATTCAGAACAGACCTGCCCTCTATCTGTTCCACTCTCAAACCCACATAGCCCCAAATACACAGGGTTTACACAGAGGGCTTCTCTAGGATTGGAGGGAGAGGTACAAGATGCTATGTTTTGCCCCACCTGACAGATTTGGGCCATTTTTGCTGATTTTCTGCTGCATTAATCCTCCTTTTGTGCTCTTAAATTTGGAGGGATGACCTGGCCCTGACACATCTGGCCTTGTTTCATGCATTGTCACTTGCCAAGCATCTATGTCAATTTATAGGCTGCAGTAAATGAAATGGAGTAAAGCGTGGAAGCCAAACCATATAAATGGCAAAGGCTTAGCTACTATTATAGCCAAAGACAGTAACTAAACAATAAACCAAACTAAACTAATCGCCCTTTTTTGTGATGGGAAAATAGGTTGTGTTTTGTTGCTAAGGTGCCAGCAAATCAGGCTGTAACAAGCACCTGGTTATGTAGATTCCACTTAAATCAGTCCCTTGTGGAGTACGTGTTTGTGCCGTTGCTTGCCAATATCAGCCGAGGAGTCTCTCTCTGGCTTCTTAAGTAAACACACTGCAGCATGTTCTGACTGGAGCTGGTTTTGGTGCTGGGAAATATAGTAGAGAAAACTATCCAGGCAATTCCCTAACAGGCAGATCAAAACAGACGCAGATGGAATCTGCTCATAAGCTCTGCCCTGCCCAGTTTTGGGGTTGGAAAAGGAGAAATGATGAGTGCATTGGTGAGCCATAGAGTGAGGGCCACTGTGAAACATATAACACATTGCTGGCTCTACAGCTGAGCACAGGGTCTTGCAGAAACTCCACTTGGCCATTCTGTGGTTAGTAACAGACCATTTTGCTTCCAACTCTCCATGAACTTGGGAAAAGACACCAATTTCGATACTGTGCTTCCCAGTGGAAAAGAGGGGAATAGGGACCTACATGCGAGAGCATGTGGCATGATGAAACAAGCAGCCCTGCCCTTTTCAATCAGGTGAACTACAGTAGGAATGGAGATACAACCCAAAGCCCTCTGTGCCACTGACACTCTCACTGAAGCTGGCCAAATATGTCAATATAAGGAGGCTTTTGTGGGCAGGTTGCACATAATGCATCCAGTGGCCCAAACTGCTTGATCCAGAGCAGTATCTGAAAACAGCCGTCATGGAAGGGTATCCTTGCAAGCCCGTTGTCTGCTTACTAGTTAGGGGAACTGATTCCCTGCATGGCAACATTAGATGTAGGCCATACTTATAGGAGGGGGATTCTATCCTAGATAGCAGCGACATTATGGGGGACATTGTGGATCGTCAGCTCCCAGTGCGACCCGCTGATGCCAGGGGCTAATGCAATCCTTGAACAGATAAATTGAGGAATGTCAAGTAGGAGCAGAGAAGTTATTTTACCTCTGCATTTGGCACTGGTTTGGCTAGAATACTGTTTCTGGTTCTGGCAGCCATAATTCAAGAAAGATGGTGATCAATTGGAGAGGCTTCAGGAAAGTGTCACAAGAATGATTAAAGGGTTAGAAAATATGCCTTGTAGGGGTAGACTCAAGTTGCTCAATCCATTTAGTTTGATAAAGAGAAAGTTAAGGGATGACTTGATTACAGATTGTCAACACCTTCTTGGAGAACAAATATTTGACACTGGGCTGTTTAGTCTAACAGAGAAAAGTATAACACAATCCAATGGCTGGTAGCAGGACAAGGTCAGGCTAGAGGGATTAGAAGAGGAGAAAGGCAGCTCTAAACATCAGAAACCCCTGTCCTAATTAACCAGAGCCTACTTCAGGGCAGCCAGGAACAGATGACCTGGAGTTACTCCCTTCTCTCTCTCCCCCACCCCGCCCCGCTCAGGAGTGAGAGCTGAGAATGGTGGAGGCAAAGCGGCTATAGATCAATTAAAGACCAGCTGATTTCACTTCAGGCTGTCATGAGGCCTTTTAAAAAAAGCCTTCCCTGCTGGGGGAGAGGAGTTATAGCTGATGCCAGAGAGAGAGGGGACGGTGAGGAGCTCTGACAGGAAGTGGTTGGGTGCCCTTCTCCAAGTAACAGGACTATGTAGCACTTTAAGACTAACAACATCTTGTTAGTCTTTAAAGTGCTACATAGTCCTGTTTTTTGTTTCAGCTACACCAAACTAACACGCCTACATTTCTATCACTCTTCTCCAAGTAGTCACAGAGTCCAGCGAGTGGCTGGGGAGGACTGGTCACCTAGCCCAGGTATTGTATCATGCAAGCAAGGTAGTAACAAACTTTAACAGGCCTTTATTTAACAAAGGTGAAACCTCTTTACAAAGCTGCTGCTGCTCCCCTCTGTAGCTCTCACTCAGGCCTGGCCCATCTCCTCCCTCCTCCTTTCTGTTTCCTGTGCTTCCAGATTCCCAACAGCCAGTGCTCTCAGTTCTAATAATTACAAGCAGCATCTAAAACACCACATTCCCTCCTCTCTTACGAAGCACTCCCAATTATAAAATAAACATTTTGAATCTAGTTGCACTAAGGGTATTTTTTTTCTTTACTTTGTGGTTTGGTTTGAACTGCTCTGTGTGAATCTCTGCCTGCCCTCCCCATTTACTATCTAGTACTGTGTCCAGAGACTTTTCTCTGTTTTAAATTGTTTTCCTTAGTTGCTCTGTACCATGTAGCAACCAAGTACGCTTTATCAAGTATATCTTTTGTTTTGTAATAAAAATCATTTTTTAAGGTGGTGATTTAATTCTTGTGTCCTGGAAGGTATCCTGGAAGGTCTGTTTGTCTGTGTGTAGCTGCATGTCTCAGATTGAGAGGTCAGCTACTAGAGACAGAAGCTTGTTTGCCCTAAAAGAGCTTCAAAAAAGAAAAGAGGGAAAAAAGCTTGGGAGTACCCCTGGGGGTGGGATGAAGTGTTCACCCCTGGGTTTTTTTTAGGGATAAAAATCACTTGATGGTGGCAGCATATCACCAAAATCTGTGGATTGTGATTCTGGGGGGAAGTTTTTGTAACCAGTGTCTGTAGAAGCAAATGTTTTTTTTTTCTTTTGAGCTGTTTGCGGGCCCCCATCTTCTGCACTCGGAGTGCCAGGGTGGGGAACAGCCCTGACAGGGAGGAGGCATCTTATTCCCTCCACTGGTCGCTTGCCATTCTCTAGCGCCGCTTTGCTGGCCATTCCTCACCCCTTGCTGCTGCTGCCGCTTCTCTGCTGGCCGCTACTTACACCTCTCCATCACCACCTTGCTGGCTGCTCAGCGCATCTTCTGCTTGCTTGTGCATTTGGCTCTGGGCTAAACCTCATGATTTCAGCCCTCAGTGAGTTCAGCTTTAAGCCCAAAGCACAGTCCAGCCACAAGAGATTCCAGCATCCACTCAAGTAAATTTAAATACTCAAAGAGACTCCTTATGGAACCTTTCTTTAACTCTGCCATTGAAACAGGGGGGAGAAGCAGGTTGAGACAGTCTTATAGCTCACACCTGAAGGGTATGCAGCCTGTTGACTCCTTCTCCCTCCGCAGCTTAATCTCATAGAGCTCTGGAATCTGAGCCTCTCTCTATCCAAGTATATTTACATTGAGAGGGTCTCTCCTTTTGAACTGAGTTAAACACAGGGGCTACGTCTACACTGGCCCCTTTTCCGGAAGGGGCATGTAAATTTCAGCAGTCGTCGTAGGGAAATCCGCGGGGGATTTAAATATCCCCCGCGGCATTTAAATAAAAATGTCCGCCGCTTTTTTCCGGCTTTTAAAAAAGCCGGAAAAGAGCGTCTAGACTGGCCCCGATCCTCCGGAAAAAGCGCCCTTTTCCGGAGGCTCTTATTCCTACTTCAAAGTAGGAATAAGAGCCTCCGGAAAAGGGCGCTTTTTCCGGAGGATCGGGGCCAGTCTAGACGCTCTTTTCCGGCTTTTTTAAAAGCCGGAAAAAAGCGGCGGACATTTTTATTTAAATGCCGCGGGGGATATTTAAATCCCCCGCGGATTTCCCTACGACGACTGCTGAAATTTACATGCCCCTTCCGGAAAAGGGGCCAGTGTAGACGTAGCCAGGCTGACTTGTCTGCATTCCCACAGTAACTACAAGCACTGGTGATTATATTTCACCATTGCTGCATTTAGTGTTAACACAATTTGTGACCCAGCACTAGCCAAGTTGATTATAATGAGCAAAATACCATTATCTAACACATCTAAGGGAAACAGGGGCACACTGTATTTACTTAAACACACCCAGGATTTCCTTCCCATTCCAGCTGACTCCAATGGAAACACTGATTCAGACCCTACTTACACCTCTAAGAATGCCCTTAGATCTATGGGATTTCCCTGTAGATGTATGACCTCTGGTTTAATATCACATGATGTAGTGGAAACTCTGCTGCCAATTTTTTAATCTAACTTGGGCCCTTTGGCCTATAAATTCATCTGTGAGCTGGCAGGATCCTGTCTGTGTTACTGGAGCTTGATTTTGATTAAATATGTGGTTATCAATCTTACACCAACTACTTAAGGAGGTGGCTGATTTTATAATACATTTATTACCCACGTGTGAAAGTATGGATTAGTATGGGCAGTAATATGGATGAAAGGAAGAAATGTCAGGATCACAGATTTTGAATTACAGCGAATTCTATCTTATTTAATAATGTCAGACTTAACAAAATTCTGATTTTCGTCTTTTTATTTATTTTAGATTCCCAAAGATAAGCCTGGAACCTATAAACCTTGGGCCATTGACATAGCCTAATGTGTTTTCCAGAGTATGAAATCATCATGTGATTGTTTCCATCACTGTTGGTTTAAAGCATCCCAAATCTATTAATGGTTAAAACCCACTCACACACACATTTGTGGACCAAGATATTATCATTAATTGCAGCTCCCTGTACTGACAGAAAGGAGACCTTTAATTTTGGATAAATTATAGACCAAAGTCTGCTTTCTGTTATATCACTGTAAACCTGGAGTAACCCAGTAATCCCATGGCCTTCAAGCTAATAACATATGGACATAAGAGAAAGCAGAATATACCCCCAAATCACAAACTATGGTTCTTTGCCACTTGCTGCATCCACTTTATGACTCACTTGTTGACATTATTATTAATTGTATCTATTACTATAGCATTTTGGAATCCCAATCCGATTATATTAGGCATGTACCATAAAAAAAGAGACATTCCTTTCCCCAAATAGCTTCAGAGTCTAGGCCTCAGATAGGATTCAACAGAGTGGATGATACAGACACACAGCTGGGTAGATGTGGAGTTAAGAAGGAAAAGTCACAACTAAACAAATGGATCTCCTCATAAAAAAAGCTGTCAGCTCACCACTTGCCAAACCTGTGCCAGATATTAGTGATTTGTAGGCATCATGATAGAAGAAGGTTTAAGGATGGATTTTAAGGGGGGATTTCTCCCATACATAGGTAAAGCTCTGGGAAAAATATGAAGGTATCTGAAGAACGAGTGGCCCAGGCTGGCACAATTGGAAGCAGCAATTAAATAGTTAATAATCACACTTGAAAGTTCAAAGCTGGAAAAGTCATTGCAAGAAAAAACACGGTATAAATTAGCCTAAGAAATAACTCTATAGGTACAATACGCTTTATTTACATTAGGTTACATTTTGCTGTCAGTTACACATGTGTTAGAGTAAGGAGGACTCCATTGGTTTTAATGGAAAATAATGCAGTTACACCAGTGTACCTGAAAACAAATTATAGCTTGTAACATTGCAATCATATTTAGTGCAAATATTAGAGACAAAAATATAATACTTTATTTCTTTACAAATATGTGTATAGTGCAATAAATGTATAACATGTTTGTGCCACCTATTGGTAAAATAGGCCTGTCCATTTCTCTTGTTAAACTATTACCACTTGCAACTGATGAGAAAAGCACAACAAAGCAAAATTCTGAGGCTACGTCTAGACTGCAGTGCTATTTCGGGGTACCAGAGGTATCTGGAAATAGCTATTTGCATCTTTTGAGCACAATGTTATTTCCAAATATAATGGGCTTGCTATTCCGATGTCCCTGTAAACCTCATTCCACAAGGAGTAAGGGACATTTCAGAATAGTGATTTATTTTGAAATAAATGCTATGTAGATAGCTTATTTTGAAATTTTGCACTATTTCAAAATTGACTCAAAATAAGCTACGCAATTTGTGTAGTTCAAATTGCGTAGCTTATTTTGAGCTATGGGTGCAGTGTAGATACACCCTTAGGCTATGTCTACACTGGCGGGTTGTTGTGCCAGAAGTATGCAAATGAGGCTGTGTGGAATATCGCCGAGCCTCATTTGCATACCTAATGAGCCGCCATTTTTGCAGAAGAGGCTCTTGTGCTAGAAGGAGCTGTCTACACTGCCCCTTCTTGCGCAAGAAAAATCCTCTTGCGCAATGCCGTTATTCCTGAAAATAATCAGCGTAGCGGCATTGTGCAAGAGGGTTTTTCTTGTGCAAGAAGGGGCAGTATAGACAGCTCCTTCTAGCGCAAGGGCTGTTTCTGCAAAAATGGCGGCTCATTAGATATGCAAATGAGGCTCGGCGATATTCCATTCTTAGTCTCAATTGCATAACTCTGGCGCAAGATCGCGCCAGTGTAGACATAGCCTTAGTGACTTGCAAATTCACAAACCCAATAGGGGTACAATGGCAGAAGTTAGCTAATAGAATAATTTAGTTTTGTATTAGTTATTTTAGGTTAAGATGTTTGTGAACTGTAACTTACGTTTGGACTCTTCCTTTTTTTGGTAAATTTTGAACAAATGAACTAATTTAGATTTGGGTCATCAAAGAAATCATAGCCTGAAAAAAAATTTGGATTTGAACATAGTAGGAGTGAATAGAAGCAATGTGTAATGAGGTGCACTCTTAAGGGACGTGGTAGTTTGTTTTCATATTGTTTTGGTTTTGTGATTCTATAGGATTGCTAATTGGAATGTTTGTATTGGTTTAAATACGTTTTCAATAAAAATAAATATAGGAAAAGAATGTCTGGCTGAGAACATTTATTTGGAACACTACATGAAGCTCTGATCAGCTGCTTTGTAGCATGAAATCATAGACAATTAGGGTTCGAAGAGACCTCAGGAATCATCTGGTCCAAGCCCCTGCTCAAAGTAGGTCTAACCCCAATTAAATCATTCCAGCCAGGGCTTTGTCAAAATTGGCCTTAAAAACCTCTAACGATGGGGAGAGATTCCACAAGTTTCCTAAGTAACCCATTCCAGTGCTTCACTTACCACCTGCCCTCCTAATGAAATAGTTTTTCCTAATATGTGTAACCCTTCTGCCAGGTAGCACCAGCAGCAGCCAGGGCCTGGTTCAATATCTAGGGGTTCCTCTCCCTCCATCCAACACAGAACTGGCTTGATCCCCCACCTAGTAACCTGGGAAATTCACACAACACCCCTGGGCGCCTATAGAAGGCAATGCTTCCCCACTCACAAACACAGCTAGAGGGGCTGGGGCCCCCCCCGGGGGGGGGGTCGCTAGGGGCGCAGGCCTTTCGCGTTTCAAAGGTTGCGAATCGATGAGGTGGGCTCAGGCTCGAGGGCAGCTCTGGCTCCGTTCTCCCGGGCGGGGTCAGAGGAGGCGGTGCGGGGCCGGCGGTTTCCGGGCCTCA